CCGCCGAGCCCCGCTGCTGCTTTGCACCGCCCCACCCCTTATTCAGCTCCCCCCCATCCTGCTCTCCTTGATGCTCACAGCCGGCTGGTGACATTCCGCTCCCACGCTGCCTGGCTGGGGTTAAAGTGTAACCGGCGCGGCTTCTGCTTTGCACCGCCCCACCCCTTATTCAGCTCCCCCCCATCCTGCTCTCCTTGATGCTCACAGCCGGCTGGTGACATTCCGCTCCCACGCTGCCTGGCTGGGGTTAAAGTGTAACCGGCGCGGCGAGCTGGGTTGGGTGCTGAGCGCTGGTCCCTTCCTCCCCGGTGGGAGCCGATGGGTTTCCGATCTGGGCCGCCTGCGACAGCTCAGCTGGGTCCCAGCTGGCTGGTGCCGGGTGCCCCTGTGTGACCCCCTGTGCTGTGCCCTGGGCAGGCGGCCAGACTGTTTTCCCCGCTTGCGGGAGGAAGGAGGGAGTGTTCGGAACAGTGGCGATCCCACACGATCCCTTTCCGAGTTGTCACAAGGGGGTGTCGCTAGGTAAAAGGCCCCCCAGCCCCATTTGGGCTCCCCCGGCATTTGGCGCATGGCCAGCAGTGCCAGCTCCAGAAAAGCCCCACTTGATCGAGTGGGGGCCCCGGCGTTACCCCCTCGAAGTGCTGTCTGTGTTGGGGCTCGCACCATTGCTAGAGGGCATCTCCCTCGCTGCAGGGCCACCGCGGGTGACAGGCCCTGGGTACCACCACACCTGATCCCTCTGTTCTCCCCTGCTGCAAAGGCCCTGTGGGATAGACAGGGCTCCAGGGCAGCCAGCTGAGCTCACTGTAAGAAAAGGGGCGGCCAGTTCCCCAAAGCGGGTGGTTATTCCAATATTCATCCTCACTGAGCCAGCACAAACCAGCATCTGTGAGACCTTATGGGTGAGTCCGAGTCCAACCAGGCAGTGCCCGGAAAGTCCCCAGCCTCAGGTCACCAGCCAGACACCCCCGCCAGCCAAATAAAGTTCTACCAACCCTGAAGGACTGGACACGTCAGTTGCTGGGGGGCACTGAATATTTCAGCCCTTACGCCAAATACACGAACCCAGCCAGTTCTCATTAACTGTATGAAAAAAGGGCTGGCTAAAGGGTGGGTAGAAATGCAGACACGAGTTCAGTCACGCAGCAGTGGTGAGCTGGTGGTGGCAGATAGTTCTTTTAGAACTTAGTCCGCGGTTCTGGTCCAAACTCCACAGCCAGGATGACTCCAGCCAACGCCCGGGCCTCCGTCCTTGCGGCTTAGAGTTCTGTACGAAACCTCAAGCCGATCTGAGACTGCAAGTCAATGTTCATGAAAGAGGCTCTTGGGGTCTCATTTCTCATGGCCTGCAGCTTTCCCCGGGATCGGAGACCAAAAGGATCCCATCCAAAGGGCCTGATCCCTAGAAGACCCCAACAGCCTTGTAAGGTAGCCACTTGGTAATTAAACATCAGGTCATTCACATGTATCCCTTGAGCAGTTTGCCACAAACTTTAGTTAGAGACATCTTGGTAGGGACATTTTTTCACCCAAGATTCATCTAACTTGCTATTCCTGTTGGATCTCTTGAATCAGCAGCTATAGCAAGGACAGGAACTGTCTATTGACAGGGTCAGCATCTGTAAGAGAGAACTTGTATTGCCTCTGATTTCTAAGGAGACAGGTTTGCATTTCAAAGTTCTAGCCTAAGGAGCATTGAATGGCCTTAGTTCTGGTGTGTCTGCTTTCCCCCTCCTGCCTCCATGCCGGTTGGCTCTGGGTCCTTTGGCCTGGGATTGTTTAACCCTTTCTGGCCTCCTGGCCTACTTGGCACGGTCTGGAGCCGTGATCGCAGACTGGATCTCTGGCCTCGCCCGGCTCGTCAGAGATCTGAGTTCCTCCCTATTGAGGCACGGAGCAGTGCTCTGCTGTCCCACAGTGCGGGGATAGGGCCGGTGCCCCATCGTAGGTCACTTCTGCTGGTCAGCCCCAGGACCGGGGGGCCCTGCTTGCCTTTTCTCACAACCAGTTCCCGGGGCCTGCGCTCTGGCTCGGGGGCAGGGCGGGGTGGAACGGAGCCCAGCTCCCAGGGCTGCGACTCCCCACTGAGCAGGACTGATGTTGGCACCCTGTGCTCTGGCTGGGCTGCTGCCATGGGCTTGTCTCCAGGCTGGCGGCTGCACTGGCCCGTCCCTCTCCCTGGCATCCCTGACCTGCTGGTGCCCACAGGCAGAGGACACTGGCTGCCCAGTGTCCCAGAGGGCGCCCATTGGTCCCACTGGCTCAGCATCCTGCCCGTTCCAGAGGGGGAACCTGGCACCCGGCCAGTCAGTCAGTGGCAGGCAGCTGGGGGGGGGGGGGAATTCCCACGCCCGCGAGATCTGTGCTGGCGACTGCTGCGTGCCCGGCACCATCTGCCTTGGGAGAGGCTTTGCAGGGCGGCTGCAGGAGGCGGTGCGGATCTTCCAGACCACGTGTGCCCAGTCCCTCCGTGTGCCGCTGTCGATGCTGCGACCGCTCCTGGGATCAGCGCACGGCCTAGCCCAGTGCCCCCGGGGCATTTCCAAAGGGCTCAGAGACCTTCAATTGTTCCTCAGTCCCCAGAGCTGCCAAGCACCTGTCTCAATCCCTGGGGAGCCAACCCTGGCGGGGACACCTGCCCACCCTGCAGTGCCCAGCTGCGGCCAGGCAGCAAAGCCCCGATAGTGCTGGGAATGCTGCCGGCCCCTGGGGTCCGAGCGTGGCACTTGGCTCCCTGCTCGGCCGGGTGCTGCAGGGCGCCCTGGAACCTGCCCTTCTCCCTCAGGGATCCCCGGGGTCCAGGAGCGGACGCTGGTGGCGGTGAAGCCGGACGGCGTGCAGAGGAGGCTGGTGGGTGACGTGATCAAGCGCTTTGAGAGACGTGGATTCAAGCTAGTTGGCATGAAGCTGCTCCAGGTACCTGCGTGGGGCTCGGTGCTGGGGCCAGCGACTGGAGACCTGGACAGACCAGCCACATGGCGGGGCGGGGGGACGACTCGTTAAACCATGGCCTGGACTGGACCGGCGCTGGCCTAAGCTGGGTCGTGCTGGCCAGGAGCTCTGAGAGCTGCCCAGTGTGTGCGTCTCCCACTGGCATCTCGCAGCCCAGGCTGCCTGTGCTCCACTACTGCGGGGTGCAGCCCCGCTCCCTCTGCATTGCCTGGCTTCCGTTGCCACAGCCCTGCAAGCCCCAGCTCCCGGGGCTGCCCCTCCATCCCCACCTGCCCAGCCGCCCCCTGCTATTCCAGGCCACCTGCGCCGGAGCCCAGGGCTGCTTCGTGGCATGAGCCAGCCCGCTAGGGCTTCGGCTGCGTTCTCCAGGCCATCTCTGTCCGTGAGCCCTGTCTCCGCTGACCTCCCCAAATGGGGAGACCCCCCTTGGCCACTGCACAAGAATGGAGTTTGATTTCTGGCCGTGCCTTGGACCCACTGGCACGCAGCCGCCTGGGCGGCAAGAGGCAGGGAAGGGGGAGAGGGGACCCTGGGAGCTGCCTGATGAATTCTCTCTTCTGGCGGCAGGGAGAGGCATTGATTTCCCTCTGACCGGGGCTCAGGGCTTGCTTCTCCCATTGGGGTCCCCGCTTCCTTTCAGGCCAACGAGGGGATCCTGGCAGAGCATTACCATGAGCTGCGGAGGAAGCCCTTCTACCCGGCGCTGATCCATTACATGACTTCGGGCCCGGTGGTTGCCATGGTAAGGCCGTGAGCCCAGCTGGCGCATGCGCTGCTGTTTAGAGTCACTGGGTGCGGGGGCGGGTTGATGCAGGGGGTGCAAGTGGAGGATATTGCTTTGGTTCCCTTGTTGCTTTCTCCCGGCCCCTTCTGGCCTGGGATCCACATTCTCTGGGCCTTTGCTTTCTACAGCCCAGATCCAGTGCCCAGCCTGGCCCCTGCAGGGCTGGCAGCTTAGAGCCCCCGGCCCCTCTCCACGGGCCGCGTCAGTTACACCAGCGACTGCTGGAGCCCCGGCCCCTTTCGCTGCCCAAGTCCGAGTGGAGAATGCTCCCTGCCCCGCGCAGTACGGGGGGCCGGGCTCTTCCTGTGCTGGGCCGGGTCCCAGCGCCCACCCCGCTCAAGCAGGGGAATCTGCTAGCGAGGTGAGCCGCCAGCTCCCCTGCCAGCACCACGGAACCCCCGCGCCCCAGGGACCAGCAGGGCCTGTGCTGACGACAGCCCCTAGCCCTGGCCCAGGCGCTTTGCCGCTTGCTCAGCCCTGAAGGCTTCTGCCTTGGTTGCAGTTTGGTTTCTCCCCCTTGCACATCATGCTGCCTTTGCTCTTTTCCACCTCCCCATACCGGCGCCCCGCCAGCTCCCCTGCCAGCACCACGGAACCCCCGCGCCCCAGGGACCAGCAGGGCCTGTGCTGACGACAGCCCCTAGCCCTGGCCCAGGCGCTTTGCCGCTTGCTCAGCCCTGAAGGCTTCTGCCTTGGTTGCAGTTTGGTTTCTCCCCCTTGCACATCATGCTGCCTTTGCTCTTTTCCACCTCCCCATACCGGCGCCCGGAGTGCCAGTGCTGCCCGTGTAGGCCAGGACTCTGCGCTGGCTCCGTCTGGCAGGGCCTTCCCCGCCTCCTGCCTGGCTGGGCGCCCGCGCTGCTTCTTCCACCCGGGGCAGGCGGGGGCAGAGGGGATGAGGAGCGCAGTATGGTCGCAGGTGACCCCTGCCTTCCCCAGCCCCAGTCTGCGGGGCCCAGCCAGCCTGCGCGCGCCGCTTCACGGATCAGCCCTGAAGTAGCGACCTGGTTTGGCCACCGGAGTCGAGTTCTGTCCCCCCAGGGGATTCTGAGCAGCGCCCGCCTCGGCTCACGCAGCCTGGTTATTGCAGGTGTGGGAAGGTTACAACGTGGTCCGGACGTCCAGGGCCATGGTGGGCGATACCGACTCCGCTGAAGCCAAGCCGGGGACGATCCGGGGAGATTTCAGCATCCACGTCAGCAGGTACGAAGTGCACGGAGCCAGCCAGCCTTGGCTCTGGCATGCTGAGCAGGGCCAGGAGCCCCAGCAGGCCTGAACCTCCTTGGCAGTCCCCTGGCATCTGGACCCGTCTGTCTGGAGCCTCCTGGAGAGCATTCCTGTGGAGGGCCGGTTGCCCCATCCCAGTGGCGTGGGGCGAGGGGGGGCACTCGCAGGAGGGTCGCTATGAAACTCCAGGCACTGAAGTAAGGCTCCAGTGACCAAGTCTATGACTTGGGCTTATCGCCCGCCTGTGGTGGCCGGAGCCAGGGGAAGGGTCCTGGCGGCAGGACCGAGTCTCCAAGGGCACCCTAGCTCTGCCCTGGAGGCTGCCGTCTGCCCTCTGAACACTCCATGCCAGCGACTCTGTGGAGACGGCCCAGCGGGAGATCAGTCTGTGGTTTCACAGCAGCGAGCTGGTGGACTGGGCCTGCTGCGATTACAGCAACACTTACCAGCTCTGAGGGCCTCTCCTGGCCACCAGGCCTGGCCGTAGATCTACTACCTCTGACAGCGCGTTGCCTTCTGTAGCTCCTTGGGCCCCGCCAGCACGCCACCGGCCTGGCGCGGCAGGGCGAAAGCCTTGCTTCCTTCGCCCTGCTGCCTCCTCACCGTAGTGCCGGTGAGCCCCTGGGAGCCGCTGTGCGCAAAGGAAGAACGATGGGTGTAAGTCCTTGAAGGGTTCACATTAAAACCCAATTGGTTACAGATGTGACTCCGGTTTCTCTTCCTCCTTCTTGCCCTTCTGGGGGGTGAGGGTGGGGCCAGCAATCCCCTCTGTTGTAACATGCTGCAGGAGCCGAGTAGCCATGGGACAGCCCAGTCTGAAGCCCTGATATTCCCCAGATCCACTAGCGAGGACCCATCGGGGAGCCTGGTGGGTGGTGCTGAGTGCCCCACAGCCAGGCATGCAGCAGCAGCTGATCTCTGTTTGGCAACGCACCCTAGTGGTTGGAGAGAGAGAGGCTGAGCGGGAGGATGGATAGGACAGAGCTTGGCGGGCTGTGGGTGAGGAGCAGAGGCTGAGCGGGAGGATGGATAGGACAGAGCTTGGCGGGCTGTGGATGAGGAGCACAGGCTGCCCATCCTGGGGCTCTGGGGACAGCTCCATC